CCCTAAGACGAAGGTAACAGAGGCAGCATTCCTAGAAATACTAGTCAGTCAGGCATCAGTAAGTACCTTGTTATTCTCTGTGATCACACTTCAATCACTACCCATGGGCCAGCAATAAATTTTATGGATAGATGACAAAAACATGTAGCAATACCAGCCTGCTTGCTAGGATAGGCTTATGGAGCTTAGCTGAGTTTTCTTAATTATTGAAAGAGTTTTTTTAAAAAAGGCTTTGAGGAAGAACAAGACCGTATTAGTTAGCCAGCTATCGCTGATGAATTAAATCAACACAAGATAACAAACAACCATGGCATGTTTGGGGAAAAAGTTATTATTTGCTTTAGCACATTACCTGCTTTCTCAAAACAGAAATCACTTATTATTCCAGCAGCAATATCTCACCCTGCGGCAAATGTTTCATCATTTCTATTCTTTTGGGGAAGCCAGATCCACAACCCCAAACTGTCTCCAGCAAGTTCAATTAACAGACTGTTTCATTCTACATGCACGGAAGTTTAATCACTAGAAAACAGGATGTACTTTAATATATAACAATGTCTTCAGCATATTATTTTGTGGCTTCATGCAGATTAAAGTATACCTTATATTACATACTGATTTTGTATGTATTTTGCTAGTAAACACAGGGGTGCCTGCACAACAGTCACTTCCTAAATCCCCAGCGAGAAGACCAGCTGGACCTCAAAAATGAGCCTTAGAGGATGCATCCCCTACCACCACCTTGTCTCAGAGCAAAACACTGGTACCTCTGTCATAGGGTTAAACTCTCATTTTCTTCTCTCATCATCATCCAAGACACCACCACTCCACCCAAGTTACCTAGTTATGCATTTGATTTTGTACATTTTGCTCAAACTCCACTGTCCCTTTTCAGATCAGCTGCACAGAAGCTAGCAGGAGAGAAGCTCACCGACCCACCTTCTAGCTTTATTTTCTCCAAAATGCTGTCATCTGATTTGTGCACATAAGAAAGAAAGGAAAACAAAAGGCTAAAGCACCTGCCAAGCAGCACTTCAATCAAATCTGATTGGTTTGTCGTTTATTGTTTGGTTGGGTTTTTTCGTTTTGTTTTGGTTTTTGGTTTGGTTTGTTGTTGTTTTGGTTTTTTGTTTAAATGGTTTTGTCTTTAAATGAACCCTTTGATCTACCTCCTGCCTGGGTACTGCTCACCTCTTGATACAAACTGAACCTCACTGACAGATGTGCAGTACTGAGGCACACAGCTGACACGCCAAGGATAAATCACTACCCAGTTACTGTGCAAGAAACAGAAAACCTGTTCCTAACAGGAGGATATTGGACACAGTGGTAAATACATAAAATTAATTCAAAGTTCTTGAGAAAAATATTTCCAAGCTTAAAAACAAAGGGAATTCCATTGCATTTCCAAGCTTAAAAACAAAGGGACATCCATTGCATTCAATGACAGCGACAATTCCTTTTGTGTGTGTGTGTACCATGAAACCTATGGTACAAAAATGTGAGTGATGTAACCTCTTCGCTTTGTTGGTCCAGCAGCACTTACAGGCTCGGAGATTTCATTTCTCCAGGTGCCTTTCTGCCTGGGGTTGGGCTGGACAATGGCACAGAGTGATCAAGAGCAGACAGCTTCACAGTGAGACATGATGTGGGGGCTGCACCATCTTGGAATGGGGCCAGACCAGCCCCAGGACTGTCAGTCCCTGGCCAAGATGATGAATCTCTAATAACAATAATTACAGCCATAAGACTACCTATCAAAATGGTCTGTTTTGGCTTTTTTCCAAGGTAGGTACTATGAAATTGCAAAACTTCATATATTTGCTGTTTCAGCAGTATAACACTAATGGCTTAACATTATGCTTCAGCCTGAAGCTCTTTTGGATACCTGCCTAATACTGCAAGTAACAGTATCATTTCAGCATTTCCTCACTTTTAGTTTTCATAGGTTTAGTTTTCTGGACTCCAGACTAATAACACTTTTCTTGCAAAAGAGGGAAGCCCATTTAAAACACCTTTACATGGAACTTATAACTAAACTTTTTTGGCCTGCTGTACTTAGAGAACATAAGATAGGAAACCATATGGCAGTTTCAGCCAGCATACGGTGGGAATCTGTGAATGGACATTTCTCTCATCTAATCCAGTATTTCAGAACTTATTTTTGCTTCTGGTGTCATGCCCTTGGATAACGAACAGACAAATCACTGTTACAATGAAAACTTGTCTTTTCCCTTTGAGGGTGAACTTTGGCAGCTTGCAGCACAGAACAAGGAAGCACAGGAACTTACAGCCAGAATTTTAAAGAGGTTCCTTTTGTGTGTAATGAAATTCTGTGCACATCTGTACAGCTTTTTTGAGGCAGAGACATGTTTACTCTGCCTACGCTGTACAGCAGAAGCAATGTATCTGTAGTGCAGACCCAGCCTAAGTTGGTATGCTGCATGAAGAAGCACAACTTTGCTTGTACCATTCTGCTGCAGCTATTTCTTCAGTATTTTTTGACTGATTCGCTCTTTCTAGTGGGGATAAGATTCAGCCTTCACCAACTATTGCATGTCTGTATTTCAGATCAACCTGTGCACAGCCTTTAGTCACAGAAGCAAGAGGGCATTTTTAGTCATCAATTCCACAGTCTCAGAAAACCATGCAGCATTACAAGAAAGCAAGCCTGGAGAGAAAGGGATTTTTACATTTCTGAGCCAGGGAGATAAAACCAATGCTTGATTTTCTGAGTCTTCTATCCAAGTCACATTACAAATTCCAAGTTGTAATAAGCTCACATACCCCTTACAGCTTATTCAGTGTGCCAAATCACATTTTCACATGTCACTCTCCAGATTTAAAGGATATCATTAACCGATTAAGCTTTTGTCATTCAGGGCACTAATTTTTAGAGTTATCTTTATCTGTTAGTCCTACTGTTCATTTTACTAAGTTATGGCACCTCACCACATACCTAGATGGACAACTTTGGGAGCTAGGACAGTACCCTGGTTATTCACTGCTCTAAACATAATACCTCTATCTATAATATGAATCATTAGTTATCATGGGGCGTTATCTGTTCATGTTTTCACACGTAGATATTTAACACAAGACAGACTGAATCTACATAAGATCTTGTTTGCCATAAACTAGTTGCAGCCACATACAAACCCCCAAACAACACCTAAATCTCAAATGTCTCCTGCAATCAGCTCACACAGTATTTCAGTTGCACTGGGACACCCCCTCCATGATTTGGAAGTGTCACTTTTCAGTTCAAGAGCTTACAAACAGATAATGCTTCCCTATTTTATCTGCACAGCAGGGAAAAAAAAAAGACAAAAAAATCCAGATATAGAAACAATCCACAACTTCAGAAACCAGCCCTTTTTTCACTGCTTTAACTCATTTAGGATTCAGCCACCTGAATTTTCCTGCAGCTAAATGAAACTTTTTGGCCAGATCACTATGATTGAAAGCTTACGTCCATGAAATTAAAAGTTCACCTTGGATAGCCCTAAAGATAAGCATCCCCATGAAGCACAAGCAGATAATCATTATTAAAATCAATTTGTTCACCAAAATTCAAACATTCTTGCAACCTGCTTTTTCATGGTCACATGTACTGACTATACCAAACATAATCAGCCATAAGACCACTTCCTTGTTGATTTTCCTTGACATTTATTCCCAGGCACCACCAGCTGCAGATGATAGCTGCCTACTTCTCCTGCTGAACTACAGCAAGAGTGGATTTTTTGCATCCCAATCACTTCTAGTAAGCTCAGAAGGATGTGTTTTTCTGCAGCAGCATTGCTACTCTAGGATAAAAAATTGCTTTCTTCCACTGCCACTGAACTTCCACTGCCTTATGAGACTGGAAAAATGGCAGATGCCAAGATCTAATTCAATAACAGAAAATTAGAAGTACAGACTATTTACCATGTAGACACAAACACAAACCGTTCATACTCCATCTACATACAATTTAGAGGTAAGAAAACAACCAGATGCTAAGGATAAATCTATGAAGATGCTTCATACCCTTCATGCTTCTCCCACATACACATATCTTTCATGTGTGGGCTAACAGCCTAAAAAAAGAAATCATCTGAAAGACATCAGACCAACTGAAGGATAATATATTTGTAAGACACACAAGGAAGATATGCACGCATTCCTTTTCTCCTTGTAAGTCCTAAAGCATAGACAGTTGTGAAGCGTTCCAACATTTCCAGTAAGGCACAGGTAGTCAGTTGCTCTGTACCTCAGAGCAGATTATTTGATAACCACTTCCCAATTTACACAATCCAAGGCTTTAGTCTGACAGAGTTAAGGCTTATCTTTCCTTATCAAGTGACCCATTCCACTGAGTTCAAGATAACCACCCATGTGAATGATAGGTGTTTAGTGATAGGTGTCTATTAAGATATTAGGAACATTAATTACAGAGGAACAATCAGTGGAAAAAGTTTATCAAGTAGAATTGTTACAAACACTTTCTTAAAGCAAGTGAGGACATTTACAGAAATGGCTGCGTTTGAGCCAGTTCCTTGATGATCCCTATTAATTTTCATCACTTAGTTAAATGAGAATTTTATTGAACTGCAGTATATAAAGTTATTTTACAAAATTACTAATGAAAACAGCATTAGTCATGTACGAGCCTTTATGCTCATGTTCAGTAAAAAGTTGCTGTCAGAAACCTAGACAGCAACGACAAGACACAGTCACTAGCTTTTTAGGATCATATTTGAAAAAGAACCCATAGAAAGAAATAGACCCAAAAAAGAGGAAAAGCCATCCAGAGCGTTAAGAGAAGAAAGAAGTGCGATGCTCTTCCCCGCCCAGGGATCGCCGGGGAGCTGCTCGCCTCCGGCCGCCGCCTCTGCACCCACGTGGAGACACGGGGTGGCACAGAGCGACGCACACAGGTAACGCCGGCCACGGAAAAAACCGATTCTTAGCCCTCTTCCCTCTGGGGCAAGGGTAGGAAGGAGGAAGGCTGTTACCCAGCAGGAGGAAGGAGAAGATCCACTGCAGCACGGCAACCGTCTGGATCCTCCTCTTTAGGGGGATGTTGATGGGGGCAAACTCGACCTTCATGCTGACGGGCGGAGAGCAGCGCAGGGAGGCGCGGACCTGCCGGCTCCGATTCCAGCCGCGGCTACAGGCGCAGCCCCAGCCCGCCGCACCTGCCCGCTCCGCTCTGCCGCAGCCCCTCCCGCCGCCGGCGCTGCCCACGGAGAGGCGGCACCGCCCGCCCCGGCCGTCGGAAACCCGATCCTGGAGCGGGAGTGGGACGGAGCCCGGGCGCGGCTGCAGGGTGGTTCTGCTACGCCCCCTCCTCAGAGACTCTCATGGCCCGGGACGCTGCGGCTGCTCCTGGTCCTGAACGACACCGGGGCGGAGGCACCCGCGGCTTTATCGGAGCGAGCCCCAGGCCCGCGGAGCCAGGTGTGTCCGCATCCCCTGTACCCGCGGAGCCACATGTGTCCGCACCCCCTGTACCCGCGGAGCCAGGTGTGTCCGCACCCCCGGCACCTGCGCTGCCCTGACGGTCCGGGCCGGCGTTTCCTCTCGCAGCGGCCGGAGCGCCGGCGCTCCCGGACGCGATTAAGGCTCTTGCCATTAAAGAGCTTATGGAGCTGACCCAGAACTTAAGAGTTCCTGCAGCGTTCGGGGTCAAGCCTTTCGTTTCTAATTAAACCAGCACACGCACAGCCTCCTCCTGCTGCTGGGGTGTCCGTAAGGGGGACCGTCCCAAACAAAAAGTGAAAAACACGCTCCCGAAACTTGCAGCGCGCTGCCCCGGCTGAACCCGCTTCCCCGCGGGGACGGCGGCAGCGTCCAGGACTCGTGGTCCAATGTGGGGACAGGGACAGGGACAGGGACAGCGCCGGGAGTGATAGTCCCGTGTAGGGTCAGGGACAGGGCCGGGAGTGATGGTCCCGTGTGGGGTCAGGGACAGGGACAGCGCCGGGACTGGCGGTCCCGTGTGGGAACGGGGAAAAGGACAGCGCCGGGACTGGCGGTGCAATGTGGGGACAGGGACAGGGACAGCGCCGGCACAGAGGCAGTACCGGGACGCCCCGTCTCCGCGGGCGGTGCCCACGCTCCCCGCCGGCCCCTCCCGCCCCAGTGCCGCCGCCAGCGCGGGTCCCGGCCGGCGGGCTGATGTCACCGCCGTAGCTGCCCGCCGCGCTGCCGGGGCCCGGCGCGCTGCCCGCCCCGTCCCCGGGCGCAGGGCACGGGCGGACCCTCCCCACGGCCGCCCGTCCGCGCCGCGTCCCCTCGGTGTCCGCGCCGTGTCCGCCCCGGGGGCCGCAGGGGCGGCGGGCGAACCGCGGGCAGCGCGGCGGGGCCTGGCACGCGGGCAGCGCAGGCGCGGTGTGAGCGGCCGCCATGCCGACCGTGAGCGTGAAGCGGGAGCTGCTGTTCCAGGCGCTGGGCAGGACCTACAGTGAGTGTCCCGGGATCCGCGGCCGCGCCGCGGGGCTGCGTCCCAAAACCCCCCGGCCCAGCACCGCGGCCGCCGGGCTGCGATCGGCCCGGGCGGGCGAGCCCCTGGGTGGGCACAGCCCCGCCGGCCTGCCCTGCGCGCGGTGTGTCCCGTGTCCGGGGGCTGAGCTGGGACCCCCCGGGGCAGCCTGGGCTGTGGTGGCGCATCACGGGTGCCCCGGAGCCCACCTGGCTGCTCCTCGGCAGCCACCGGCACGGCAGGCACGGCCTGGCCCACGTGGGCGCTGTTTGAGCCCAGATCTCTTGGGGAATCAGAACCGGGCGCTTCCAAATCGCGGCTTCTGGCTGGGAGTTTCACAGACCGTTTTAGAAACTGGTTAAATCAAAAAGGAGAGAGAAGAGGTGGGAGTAGTCAAACCAAGCGGTGAATACCGTGGTTTTATTCAGTTCTCCTTTCCCGGCTCTTTAGAAACGTGACTCTTGGGCTGAAGGAGCGTTCAGGGCCATAGACGCAGGGGCTGTGGCTCTTAAAACGAATCTCCATGGCCAGGTCAGAGCTGTGTTACGTGCTACGACGCAGTTGATGCAACCTCTGTATAACAAGCTGACAGGAGCAGTTGGCAGGAGCAGCTGGCAGAAGCTACCCAATTATTCCCTTCTGTTTTAGTTATCTGTTCAGGCCAGAGTTGCTCTGACAAGCTTGTCTGAGGAGCTAAGCTCCAAGGCTCAGAAGCCCTTGCTGTGACTAAGAATACCATGTCATTAAATGTACATATACTAAAGAAGCTGCCATTCAGACACAAATACAAGCAAAATTCTTTAAAGTACTACTACTCATTTTTTTTCAAAATATCATTCGTTACCTTGTTTGAAAACATTGAAAACAAACACACAAAAAAATTAAATCTGAGATCTGCTTATTAACCAAAGTTCACCTTCTTCCTTCACAGCGGATGAAGAATTTGATGAGCTTTGCTTTGAGTTTGGTTTAGAGCTTGATGAAATTGTAAGTAATGGTTTTATTTGTTGCTTTTTTGGTAGAGATATTGACAGCGTTTATATTTGGTAAAGTTTGTACTGCATTATTTCCAGTGTATCCTGTGGTACAGTATTGTAATGGATGTTGTAATGCAATGTTGTATTAACACTGGTGTTTTGAATCTGAAAAAAATCTTCTGGTATACAAAAATTATTGCCTTGGAAGTAAGAGACTCCAAGGTGGCATATTGCTGGACATTCTGGCACTCTGCGCCACTTGTTCTTCAGTCTCTAGCAGCGTAAATATGGCCACAGACCATGTATTGATTATATTTTACAAGATTTGTTTGGCTTTGTTTTGTATGCATTCTTCTGTGCAATATCCAAAAAAAGTATATTTGTCCTGTACATTGTTACCTAAGTTGTAATTAATTCATATTTAAAATTTTGATTTAGATTCTGTATTTGTGAAAATTTGGTAGCCCTGATAAATGTATACATGTAAATCTTTTTCAAGTAGACCTGTTTTGGTTTTGATTTTTAATTTTAATTTATTGATCTTTTAATGACATTTGTCAAAAGACATCTGAACATCATGTGTTATTTCAGAATAGACTTGATTATAACAAGTCATTTGCCAATCTATTGCCAAAAATGTCTCTGTTATCTACTGGGATCTGACAGCCTGGAGACTCTTGCTTCTAAAATCTCTATTTTTAAAATAGTCTCTTAGTCTGAGAAAGATGGTATGTAGCTTCTCATATTTGGTGTGTCCATTTGTTGTATAAATCCAAATTACACTGTTAAACTTCTAATTAATACAGTTTCTTCTTACTGTGTGATATCACTGTCATACTCCTGTCAGTGATAAGTTATTTCAGGTTCAAAACACATTTTTCTTCATTTCAGACATCTGAGAAAGACATTATAAGTAAAGAAAAAGGCGAAGAAAAGGCAAAGGGTGCATCTGATGTTGTTCTCTACAAAATTGATGTTCCTGCCAACCGTTATGATCTTCTTTGCCTGGAAGGGCTGGTCCGAGGACTGCAGGTCTTTAAAGAAAGGTAAGGCAGAGTTGTGAGATTTTTGTGTGGTTGGTTATTTGTTGACATACAAGTCCATTTCTGATCAGTAAATAAACTTTCTACTTGCTTGGATTATGAATATGATTTCTTGTGTAGATCAGATTCACCAGATGTTCCTCTGGACAGGATCTACTGTATAACTTAAAAAGACTAGACTGTTAGCTGGGTTTTGGATCTGTTCTAAAAATTTTTCAACTGCTGTTCCATTGAGACTTATGCTCTGTAAAGAACTCCTGCAGCAAAACTTCCTTGTGATCCTTTGTAATAAATACCAAAACAAAGAATTTATTCCACTTTATCTTCTTGAGTCCTTCCTTTCTAGTTCAGTAATCTGTTTACCATCCCATAGAAAAGAAGTTTTGAACAGTTAGCTAATTACATGTCAAGAAACGTTACTGAGAAAGTTTTGTACATATCATTGCTGCTACATTTCTAAAGTTTCTTGCACTTGGGGAGCTTTTTTTTTTCACTTACAAACTTACTTCTGGTTTTGTTTTAGGATAAATGTCCCTAGATATGAAAAGATAATACCAACTGAGGGTGAAGGTCAGAAGCTGATTATCACTGAACAGGTAAAAGTGTTTACTGCACCTTTGTAAATGCATTGAGAGCTGCTGAAGCAGCAAGATCTGTATCAGTGCCAATTTTGTAAAAGCAGTGAGACTGGAAATCTTATTTGCAGAACAAGAGCTAAGGAAATTAAAATATCTTTGCTCATTGCGATTTATTTTTAGTGAAGTGGACAGGGGGGAACAATAGACAAATTATTTTGGGTGAACCTAATAGCAGATCAAATAAAAGTTTCAGGTGCTCACATTCCATTGACCTTCTGGGCCATTACACAGTGTATTGCAAACCTCCTGGTCTCTACCGACCGGGATTGGGTTTATTTGGGTTTTTTCCCTTTTGGGATTCAAATGTCTTTCCATGAATTTTCCTACTTTACAAAAGGGGGTTTAATGAAGAAGAGTGCACATTTAATCAGTTGGAATTTTGTATTTTCTGTGTACTTGAAATGTACGTGTTGCTGCTGTAAATTGCAGACTGTCCAAATCCGTCCTCACGCCGTCGCTGCCGTCCTCCGTAATATAACTTTTACCAAGGAGCGTTATGAGAGTTTCATTGACCTCCAGGAAAAGCTACACCAAAATATTTGCAGGTTAGTGTTTAAAGTAGTATATAGTGTCTGTGTGTATGATGTGCACATCCCTATTGCTGAGAGGCATTATAGTTACACCCAGGGAAATCTTCTATAGCAGCTTTGTCCTTCTCATTTCTTTGCCTGTTTCTGCCCTCTATCAAAAATGTTCAACAGAAATAGCTGTAACAGCTCATGTAACAGTTGAGGCAGAGGCGTTTTACAGCATTCCCACTGGATTTACCTTGACTGTTGTGTTGTTAACATTTGATAAAATGTGATTTGTGAAGTAATTTCTGGGCTTCTCAAAATTATCCTTCTACTTTTTTAGTAAGTTCTGTGAATGCATAGAAGTACAGAGCATCATGAGATACTATCTTTAAGAAACTCCAAGTATTATTAGTAAAAACATTATTTTGTCTTCTTTTTCTTTCTAGGAAAAGAGCATTAGTAGCAATAGGTACCCATGACTTGGACACCATCTCTGGTCCATTTACTTATACAGCCAAACCACCTTCAGAA